ACCAAGGACCTTGAGCTCCCAGCGGGTCGTGTGGTAGCCCTATTTTGAGGGCTTGCCTCTTCTTGAGCATGCGGAGAGTGAGCAATCTGAATTCCGGATGACATTTCGTGTTGATGCATTCAGACAAGTGTTCGCGGTGAAAGTTTGTCCACAAAAGGCATGGCTGTTGGCCCTGGCCATAATCATCATAGCTTCTGCCAGCCACCAGCACAGTTAGGGTGACGGCCATGATCCAAACCTTCAAAGCATCGAGGGGAAGGTGGGCCAAAAGACCTTGCGCGTGGCCCATGGAACATGAACGAAGGGGGGTTGTCATCAGACAGGCTTACGCCAAATGATTTTGAGGCCCTGTGATACCAAGAACCCATACACTGTGAGAGCGTCACTTGCTTTGCTTAAACATTGGGAGCTAAGGACGCTGTGAAAGTGTCATTCTTTGTTGAAGCATCGCTGTGAAAGTGTCAGTTTGATTGGAACGGTCCCATTTGTTGCCGCAGTGCAAAGCTCAACGCAGCAGAAGCAGACCTACAGCAGCCCTGCTCACGCCAGCAAATCTGCAACAGGATTACCCGAGCCCGATTTCACGGTGGCTTTCTTCAAGGTTGAATTCCACAGCTGGTTCCTGAGCCTTTCACTCTTTGCAACCAGAGCCAGACTGACCAATAAATGACCTGAAACGATCCAAGGTCGCTTGAACATTGAGGGCCACTACACTGGACCTTTTTTTCTTGGTTCGCAACGCCAACTGCAGTTTTCGCCGCCTGTCTCCTACCCAGAGGAGCTGCTACAGTTCAATGGAGCTGCTGGCCCGGGCTGAAAAGAATCTGAACCTGCAAGTACTTGGATAAGTTGTCGCAAAGTTGATAAAGCAAGCGCGTGTAATATGTGTCAAGCATCCAAGTCGAAACGCACATCTGAGAAACGGACATGGACATCACATTTTGGCAGAAACTTTTGAACTAAAAAGGACACTGTGAAAGTGTCGGGTTCGTAAAGACAATTTGACACCTTTGAATAGTTAAACACAGTGACAATGACTATGAAAGTGTGTGTGCGTAATGCGTTCAATAAAGAAACATTTGGCGCAGGGCGAATGTGAAGCTCAACCATCCGTGATGACAAGAGGCTGGGCCGGGTTCAACAACTTTTGGAATATATGTTTATTTGCTGTCGTTCTCCAGTCGTGAAAGCATCCATGGTTTCAGGAGGTTTGTTGGTGAAGACCTTTGTGTATGGCTGTCCCCAAATTCAAGACACTCAATCTCTCGGCAGAGAACAAGTAACCAACCCAGCGCTTCCCAACCGCCTAGAACTTGTTCTATATTATTGAGAGAGAGAGAGGGAGAGAGAGAGAGAGAGAGCCCACCGATAATTTTCAGAGATAGTTTCAAGTGCTTCCACATTGAGGTCCTTGGCCACTAAGCTTGCGGTCACCAGCAAAAAGTGAGTGGCCGTTGATTGTTCTAACCTTGACAATCTCGCAGTGTCAAACTATTGGAACAAAAGTTTGTAAAATTTTCCGTTGCAGTGTAAAGCTACTGAAAAAAGAGAGCCTGTGACACTTTCACCGTGTTTGGCAAAACCTTTTTCAAGAAGCTTCTCACGCTTTCACAGTGTTTGCGTGGCAAAACATATTCAATTTTCAATCGAGACCTGCAAAGCTGAACAATATATCATTCTGTGTCACGCAGTGCAAGTTTATCGAAACTTTTACTTGAAACTTGGCTCTGCAGCATTCTATGTAATGTCTAGCAAAGTAAGTTGTAATGTCTAGCAGTGTGTTGGGCAATGGCAGCCAGGCAGCCATACATGACCAACCATCGAATAGTTTTTTTTGTGAAAAAACGACGAAAAAGAAAAACACAAAAGCAAATGAAAATGCAAAAGCAGCGCAATTTGCTGTGTTTTTGCATTTGTTTTGTTTATTTGTTTTTTCCTGGTACCACTTCTGCGCTTATGAGAACTTTTAGGAAAAACGAAGCGAAAGAAAAAATGCGACTATAAAGCAAAAAAATGCGAAAATAAAGCGAAAAACGTGAAAAAACGACAAACACCCACAGCTACAGTTCTTTTTGCTTTTTTGTTTGCTTTACCTTTTTCTCCAAACGGTGTGGGCATACTGAGGGGTTCTTACGGTAGGTGAAAAGCAGCTGGTGCTTAGATCGCTGAAGCGCGCTGGCGTGAACGGCTATTTCGCTGCTATTTATAGTACACTCATGCCTCTCGACATCGCCCATGTGCACTTCGACTGCGCAGGCTCGCAAAATCTGCCTGCCGGCGGGGTGCTTCAGGCGACCGCGCTCTCGTTGTGGTGCCGTGCGCATTTCAGTACATGGTGGTCACTTTTCGTGACAGGTGCAAGGGAACCCCGTGTTTTGGTGCTCCAAAGTCGACCTTACTTCGAAATGCAGTTTTCGTGGCAGGTGCAGCGCTTTGGATATTGGATATATGGTGGTGATCGTCGAAGAGCTCTGATTTCGTGCAGTGAATCGTGACTTTGGACATGTGGCTCAATTGCAGATATCATGGCAGGCACAGCACTCTGTGACCCTCGATGTGCAGATTTCGTGGCAGGTGCAGCGCTTGGTGAACCTCGAAGTGCAGATTTCGTGACAGGTACAGCGCTTTATTTGTGAACCTCGAAGTGCAGATTTCGTGGCAGGTGCAGCACTTGGTGAACCTCGAAGAGCAGATTTCGTGACAGGTACAGCACTTTGTGAACCTCGAAGTGCAGATTTCGTGACAGGTCCAGCACTTGGTGAACCTCAGAGTGCAGAGTTCGTGGCAGGCGCAGCACTTGGTGAACCTCGAAGTGTAGATTTCGTGATTTCGTGGCAGGCACAGCACTCTGTGAGCCGCGATGTGCAGATTTCGTGGCAGGAGTGCAGATTTCGTGGCAGGCGCAGTACTTTGCGCTCTCAGATGCTCGCTCTCTCACTCTCCCACTTTCACTCACACTCACACTCCCTCACACTCCCACTCTCACTCACACTCGCACTCACACTCACTCTCCCACTCTCACTTGCACTCGCACTTACACTCACTCACTCTCACTCACACTCATTCTCATCCCTCACTCAGTCTCCCACTCTCACTCACACTCACACTCCCTCACACTCTCACTCTCCCACTTTCACTCACAAACTCCCTCACACTCTCACTCTCACGCACACTTACTCTCACTTATACTCACTCTCACTCACACTCGCGCTCACTCACACTCACTCTCCCACTCTCACTCGCACTCACTCTCACTCTCACCCACACTCACAAGATCTAGACGCGTTGGGGTCCAGAGAGGTGATGGTGGTGATGAAGTGAAGGTGGGTGTGAGTGAGTGTGGGTGAGAGGGTGCGTGAGTGTGAGTGAGAGTGGGAGAGTGAGTGTGAGTGCGAGTGTGAGTGAGAGTGAGTGAGAGTGAGAGTGAGTGTGAGTGTAAGTGAGCGTGAGTGAGAGTGAAGGTGGGTGTTAGACTTTCTTCTCACAGACCTCACACACACACTGTTTGGGGTCTCTTGCCGGGAGAATGTTTTCTTTATAAAACTGTTTTGGTTCCTTGTATCTATGGCTGGCGCGCCCGACGTAAGTCTAGCAACTGGCGTGTAGATGTGAGTGCTAATTTGCCATGATCAATGGTGCAAGTAGTGTGCTTGTCGTGTGGGTGTGCTGTGCTGGGACATGCCTCCACATCAATTTGATGCTTGCCCCTCCCACCCGCGCAAAACCTTCCAAACCTTCAACTTCCAGAGCCCAAAACAAACACAGTTACAACCAACAAAAGTCCAGATACAACCGGTGGAATTTAAAGTTGCTGGAAGTGGTGGACTCGTCTCGCCCTTTTTCCTTCTTGCGGATAATTGCAGGTTGTATCGTGAACTTCTCGTATGTAGGAGGATTCGTTGCCTGCAGGCTTTCTGACCTTGCTGTGTGCTTGTGGCTGTTTGTGTATCCTTTTTGGCCAGATGCTTTACGCATCCCCGACTAAAGCTGCGCCTAAAGGAATGCAACCTTTCAATTGCTTTGAAAGGTGGAGGCAAAGAATTGTGACCATGTGTTCAGGCTTTTGCTAGAAGCTGCAGCGTTTGGGGCCCTTCTTTGGGGTGCAGAGGCAAAGGCGGGGGGGACCTCAAACTGCAGCCCACCTTGATATTGACGCAGAGCTTCCGGGACCTTCTTGAAGCAAACTCATTGGGGACGGCATTTCTGCCTGAGGCGCTGGAACTGTCAACTCCAACGCTTACTAGGCAGCCAAGCAAGGGCCCCAGGACGATGGAGCAAATGCATGTGCCCGCCTTCGCAAATTGAAAGCTAGAGTGCCTAGGCCTGAGCGATTTTGGAGTTGATGCAGACGGTCTGCTGGGTTTGCTTTTGTGGAGGGTAGTTGCACGCATTCGTAAGTTTATGCGCCCATCCATGTCAGGTGAAGGCAACCCGATCATGCCTGATTAGAGTGGTTCGCGCCTGAAAGATAGTTGTCCCTAGGAGATCAGGCTGGGCACGCGGAACAAAACAATTTAAGCGCGTCAGGGGACTAGAACAATGAACGGTTGCTTCCACAGCCGTGGTTGTTGACGGTTGTTGTATTGTTTGGTGCGGTCGTGGTCGTTGTTGCTTGTTGGTAGACATTGTTGTTGCCATAGTTGTGGTCCTGTTGTGACTGCTGCTTCTTTCTCTTGCTGCCGCCGCCGTTTTGTTGTTGTTGTTGCTGATGGTGCAGTTGCGGTTGTGGTCACATGTCGTCGGTTTATTGCTGCGGTGTTTGCAGTATTTTTCGTTTTTGTTGGGTTTGCTGCCGTGGTTGTGGTGGTGGTGGTGGTGGTCGTCGTCGTCGTCGTCGTCGTCGTCGTCGACTATGAGTGACAGAGCGATGTGCAGCACCTTCCGCTATTGGATGTTGAAGGTAGTATATAGTAACATAGTATGCACATACATGATTTTGTATGTACAGTATATACTGAGACAATTTGAGACCCGACGATTGGGCTGTCTCTCCTAGCGAGGACATCACAGCCGAACTTCGTTGCTTGCTCTTCCGTTCTCTGCAACAGGTAGGGTCAAAGCTTGCACCAAACTTTACCACAAAACCGGATGCTAGGTCTGCATTTGCCACGCATTTTTATCTTACTGCTGTTCATTGCGGTGGACAGCGGGCAGGCGTGGAAGAACAGAAAGCAAACCTGCAAGTTTGCTTTGGCCTTATCGCGAGCTGGTTGTTTGAGGCCCTGGTTATGGATTGGGCTGAAAAAAGGCCCTACAAACAGCATCGGCCAGGAAGACAGTCGGGCGCCTTGTACCTTTGCATTTAGTGCTATATTATCATATCGTCAAAGAACTGTTGGCAGACGGCAGACGGGCAGATTGCATTGGACCAAAAAGGGGCAGCTTGACTGCAAACCTAGGTACGCGAGACAAACAGCATTGGTTGTGGAATCTGGGCTTTCAATGATCACAGGCTCACTATCTATTGGCAGCTTTCTATTCGAAACGCTTTGGACACAATTGCAGGGACTCGTGTTGTAAAATGTGGTGCTGGCCTGAAACATGACAGTTCTGGTGGGAGCAACTTAGGTGACTGACTAGCCTTGGGTGTTGGCAAAGCCAGCAAACTGTGAAAACGTGTGACAACAATGTTGAAGTACCAACCATGACGAAAGCCGCTCCCCAACCCAATGGTCCAAACATACTCACGATTTACGACCAGTTAAGACGGAAACAAAGAACACAACCCAGCACCAATAATCCGCAACTAGCAAGCCACAGCCATCACAAGTGTTGCCTCTACAAAACAAACAAACAACAATCGGCAACGGCCAGAGAATCACCACCGGCATCCACCGGCAAAACCACTTTAGTACATTGTGCTGCAATGTCCGACCTGCCTCATCTACTTTTGCAAGAGCAGTTTTGATCCGTTACTTTTAAGCATGGGCTGCCCGTGGTTTGCCATGCTATCCTGTCGTTCCTGTGCTGTTGCTTCGGTGTTAGAAAAAGCTAGCGGCTAGCGCTTAAAGTCCTGCATTTGCAATTTGAAGCACACTTGCATTCACTGTGTGTCGGGACAGCAAATGCAAACACTTCAGAGCACACAAGGCGAAGTGAAGGTATGGAGACTTTGCAGAACACCTGCCCAACTTGTTCTACTGACGCTTGTATTATATATAATACGGTATGCGCAACAACGGCAGGGGGATTTGATGTTGCAGATGTAAAGCAAAGCATGTAAATTACGTAACCTCCCCAAACCAAAATTTGGAAAGGCTTGTGCTCGTACACATGTTTCACGTTGTCTTGTCAACACTTGGCCCCCTTGAGGCTTGGCACTCTTGCTTGCCAGTGGAGAAAGACTTAGCGCAGTTGGGCCGCTTTTTCTCCGAGTGCGGAGCTTAAGAAGACAAAGCCATGACTTGTTTACTGCCACGCAATACACACATATGCTTGTGCCACTTTAGAGTTGGAAGGGAAGGACAGTGTGTGAGTCATGACCTTGCGTGAATATTAACTTTTCGAAAGTCCTTTTGGTACGCACGCCGTTGAATACTGTCCTCCATGGATCACTGTGCGAGTGCCTGGCAGAGTGCTCCTGGCTATTCGAGTGGAGCCGCACACTGTCCTCAAGAGTTGCAACTGCAGTTGTTGATGAGCACCAATGGCAGTGCCAACATTGCACCATCGATTCACAAAGATAGAACAACACAACATATTGTAGACAGTGCTAAGCAACTGGACCATTGCCAATATGGGTAACAAGTAACAAGGCACATGTGGCTATGCTTTGCGCCAGCTTTCAGCAGTACTGGTAGTGTACTTTTGGATATGTTGGAATATGATGATGGAATATGGTACGAGCATGTACGAGCCAAGTCTCTTAGGTTAGTGTGTGGCCCTATTTGTATCATTGTTTATCATTGTTTATCTATGTTTTATGCGCGAAGAGATCTAAACATTCTAGACCTATCATTGGCTCATCATATGCTCCCTTTGGGCGAAACCTGTGTTGCTGGCGCTCTTTTGACCCTGTACATCGCACCATCCTCCTGGCCAACCTTGCCCCCTCCGGGGTTTGATGCTGTTCTGGGACCATAGATCATCATAGATTTAAGTGGAGCCTTTTTTCTGATTCGTACTTTCGTATGAGAACGTGTCCATTCCCAAGTGAACATGCCAGCTTGTGACTTCCCATGTGCAGCCACAGAACAGACCTCTTGCTCAGTTCTTTCCTGTCGCTCTTTGCTTTGCAATCGGGCTTTCTTTGAAGATGATGGCTGTGAACCATTTCCAGGCAGGGCCAGGCTGTCATCTTGTGAGATTTTGAGTCAGCCGCCTTTCTAGTCTGGAAGTTCAAGGCTGGTACTATCAAGATTGTTGGTCAGTTGCGGCCAGATTCTGATTTTGGTGAGCTGAGTATCTTCAATTCAACTGTGTATATTTTTGCATTTTGAGTCGTGAGGTTGGGTCTGGTAGCCGTAGCCTCGACCATAATCTTTTCTCGAAGGCCTGCAGGGCGGGCCTGCGCTGCTGACTGTTTGTTCTCAGCCGTGAGTTTGTGTGCTTGCGTTCAGGATGTGTGTTGCTAATTTATATATCGCCTGCTGAAATTGGCGGATGTGTGAATTGTGAATGTGCGCAGGTATTCGTCAATGCAATGGCTTGCCATCACCTCCGTCACAGTCTGTTGTGTGCCTTTTGCTCAGCAAGTTTTGCATTTTTGGAGCTTTAAAGTGCAGAATTCTCAAAACTCAGAACTCACACCGTCGTTTGTCGTGGAACACACATATAGACATATCCTATATACGTACATATGTATATGTAGCATTATAGGTATATTGTCGAAGAGCAACCAGGTCGCGTGTTGACGTCGTGTCCCGTGGACCTCATCGCCAAAGCACGTGGGTGGGTGAGGTGTGGATGTGCTCGAGCCATGGTCAGGTGTAAAGGGCTGCGGGTAGCCGTGTAGGAGGTTTGGGCCCTTGGGAAGGGCAACCGGATTTCGTAAGGTGGGTGACCTTGAGCATTGTCGGTTGTGTGAGGACACCTTTCATTGAGTTAGGTTGACATTGGAGTGGACTCCTTTCAGGATCACAGCAGGCCTGTGAAGCTACCAGTCTTTTGAGATTGGTAGCGGAGCCAGGACGAGCTTGGAACTATGCAAGGTGCAACAGCTTCCGGAGATACATCTTCATTGGCATCGCAGCTTGCTCAGTTGGTTCTAAGTTCTGAGCCAGGCCAGGACTCCGTTTGCGTGTGCAAGCTTGGCCGGAAAATCGATTGAAGGAGCTAGCGACACGGATCGCGCTCAATACAAAGGGCCCTGCTTTCAGAAATTGGAGCTTCCCCGAAATGAAGTGTTCACTGGTGACAAGAGCGGGGGCTCTCTACTAAGGTAAATGCCGCTTTTTCTCCACATCACTATGTGGGGTTCTTGTTTTTAGCTCGCGCCCGCCGCTCCGCGTCCGCCGCCGCCTCCGCCTCCGCCGCCTCATATGACACCACCTATCTGACACTACTCATCTTACACCACCTATCTTACATCACTCAACTCACACCACCTATCTTACACCACCTATCTTACACCACTCATCTCACATCACCTATCTTACACCACCCATCTCACACTACTCATCTGACACTACCCATCTCACACCACTCATCTCACAGTACTCATCTCACACCACTCATCTTACACCACCCATCTCACACTACTCATCTCACACTACCCATCTCACACCACTCATCTTACACCACTCATCTTACACCACCATCTTACACCACCCATCTCACAGTACTCATTTCACGCCACTCATCTTACACCACCTATTTTACACCATCCATCGGACACCACCCATCTCACACTACTCATCTCACACCACCTCTCTGACACCACTCATCTCCCACCACCTCTCTGACACCACTCATCTTACACCACCTCTCTGACACCACTCATCTTGCACCACCATCTTACACCACTCATCTTACACCACCTATCTTACACCACCCGTCTGACACCACTCATCTCACAGTACTCATCTCACACCACCATTTCACGCCGCAGGCAAAGCGCTTGGTGAACCTGGTGTAGATTTCGTGGCAGGCGCAGTACGCAGAGCCTTCAGGAGGACTGGGTGGACGCGTGGTCGCCACTGGGCCGCGGCCGCCTGTGGTGCAGATTTCGTGGCAGGCCCAGCACTTGGTGAACCGTGACAGGCACAGTACACAGAGCCTTCAGGAGGACTGGGTGGACGCGTGGTCGCCGCTCGGCCGCCTGCCTGTCGTGCAGATTTCGCGACAGGCCCAGCACTTGGTGAACCTGGAGTGCAGATTTCGCCGCAGGCACAGCGCTTGGTGAAACTGGTGTGCAGATTTCGTGGCAGGCGCAGTACACAGAACCTTCAGGAAGAATGGGTGGACGCGTGGTCGCGGCTGGGCCGTGGCTGCCTGTCGTGCAGATTTCGTGGCAGGCACGGCGCGTGGTGAACCTGGACTGCAGATTTCGCCGCAGGCACAGCACTGAGTTGGTGAACCTGGAGTGTGGATAGGTGCATGCAGATTTCGTGGCAGGCGCAGTACGCAGAGCTTTCAGGAGGACTGGACGCGTGGTCGCGGCCGCGGCTGCCTGTCGTGCAGATTTCGTGGCAGGCGCAGTACACAGAGCCTTCAGGAGGACTGGGTGGACGCGTAGTCGCCGCTGGGCGGCCGCCTGTCGTGCAGATTTCGTGGCAGGCCTAGCACTTTTCGTGACAGGCACAGTACGCAGAGCCTTCAGGACCAGGAGGACGTGGTCGCCGGGCCCCGCCGGTTTTGAACGATAGTGTCTGCCCACCTCAAAACATGCGTGTGCCTGAGATCCAAGACAGCGATTGCCTTTTGCAGTCTGGAGGGCCCCGACTGGCCGTCGGTTGGTCTGCGCAGCTGCCCCAATGAAAAGCCGCAAAATGGGTAGAAGCGATGGGCGGTGTGTGCAAAGGGCAGGGGCGTCATCCTAAGTACCAGGGGTCTGGAGTAAATTCCGCTGCGAATACAGCGTCGTCTGACAGGCCGTCTGTTGCTTTTGTTCCCCGCACTGCCACTAGCTTCTCAAAGCACGGCGTGACGCGTTACTGGCCCGAACAACCAGACGCTCATCATACCCTGGTACTATGTAAGGTAAAGGTATAGGCAGGGCTAGTGCCGGAATTAGCGGTGTGTGTTGGCAAGAGAGCCAGGGGCGCTGGATCCAGTAGCCATTGCGAATGAATGGCAGCAGTCAAGAAATCAACGCGGCAAAAAAATCGAACAAAACACCGTCAAAAACATGGTACCAAGCACATGTAGTTCAATGTATCAAGTTTGCTTGATCCGCGGTGATAAAGACAGTGGGCAGTGGCAGAGAGAATGCCAGGAAACTGCGAAGGCGAGTTGACTTGAAACTGAGCCCGAAGGGAACTTGCAAACCATTGACTCCTCCAGGGAACTCCGCGCGAAGCATCTTCGCTTACGTATTGTTGACGTTTGAAAAGCCGCGATCTGTGACCGGGTTCAGCTGACTCGAAAACACCTAAATGGGGTCGGGTGACTGATCTTGGGAAGGCGCCATCTGTAGAGCAGCCGAGGCTACTCGACGGTGGCGTGAAGTATGGCATGAGACACACTGAGAAGGTGCTTGATAGGGACGAACTAAAGAAAGATGACAAACCTCCAAATGAACCTGATAAGCGTACAGAGCCTGCAGTACCTGCACTTTGAGTGAAGGGATACCAAGCCAAAGCCGAGGTTGCCGACGCTTGCGACGCTGTTGCCTGAACTGCTTGTCCCACGTTTTCACAGTAACTGGGCAGTCTTTGTTGGCCCATGCCGTCCAAGTGTCCATGGCCAGCCCGCTGCGGAATGCAATTATACTTATTTCTGAAATTCGGACCGCTTCCGCTTGTGGTAGCGGTGCATGTGCACATAAAGGTCATAAAGTCGGCGGAATCCAAGTCAGGCCCGGGTTTCCTGAGATTCCAGAGTAAATTAATAAAGCAGGGAAATCGGGAAACGAAGTTGCGAAGGCTGTGTGCAGCAGAAACTTGATGACAAATTGGTCCGAAAGAAGGAAGGTTGAACCGTCGCTTCATCATGGCTTCATCCACTGGCCTTAGGCGAAGCCACTGAAAACACTTGGCGTGTTGGAAGTCTGAATGAGAGCCCGTATGATACAGTTTGTATACACTTCATTTCACTAGACTAGGTTCATCCGTCGAAGGTTGGTCATTTGCACGCCTGTGACTGCCTCCATCGAAATGCTGTTCCTACTTGTGACAGGGGAGGCAAATTGTGGTTGGGTGCAGTCTTTGTCGTAAACGCATGTGACTCATGCCCTTGACAAGCCTATTGAGTCTATTGCCAAGGCGGTTTGTGCAGCTGAAGGGTCGGGGCAGGCAGAGCGGTTCAACCATGTTTTAGCAGGGGTTCCGGACTCCGGACATATCCCCTGGAGAGGGTGGAGATGTCACATGAATGCTTTGTGATGATGGAGCAAACTGTTTGCCAATTTTACACGCAGCCAGGAACCGTCAAGGAAAGCCATGGAAGTGGGTTGGGCAAACTTCTTAAGGTTCTTTTTTGGGATATTTGGGCAGAGTCGCGAGCTGTTGATGATGGAGCCGAGGTTGTCCCAGCTCTATGGGTGGGTTTGCATGAATGTCGTGGGTGGCATTTTGGCCGAAAAAACGTGGGGCTCTTGGTGCGAAGTTATGAACCTGTGTGCGATCATGAACTGCGACCAGGGCTCGGCGATTGGTGATCAATTGTAGCAAAGTAGCAGCATTCTTGAACGACAGTTTAATTAACATAATTAGCTGAATTGCAGTAGCAATGTTTTTTACAAAATCCAAGTGGCGAGGTACAAAAGCAGTAACATGCCTTACTACATCCAAAAAGTTGCCCAGGAGACTCTCGGACAGTGAAGATCCAAAGCTTTGAAAGTTGGTTTCAGTGGCCAAACAACGTGTGTAGTTTTGAGGTTGAAGGGAAACAAGAAAAACATGCTACAACTCGTCATTACCTGCGTTTCCTTTGCAGCAGGACATGGGACACTTGGTCACATCGCTAGTCATGCTTTTCTTGGCGACTTGGAGAGCTACTAAAGGTTGGATTTTCCATTGCATTTTCGGGTGTTGTGAGAACAGTAGCAACAACAGTGCAGCAGATTTGTGGGAAGAACATTGAGTGACATTCTCAAGTCCTACTCTGAGGTGGTTCCCCGCTTTTATCCGAGTGAGGATGTCAGTTTGCCATATTATACTTGATTGTCGCGTTTTTACTGGATGTTGATCACACGTATGACATAGTTCATTGATTCTTGCATGATAGCGACATTTTGATGCACAGCTGTTTGCAATTTGTTTGAGTTTTGCCTGTTCGCAAGCCAAGCTGGCTCGGAGCAACTATAGTTTTGTCAAGCTGCTTTGAGTTGGCCATGGCTTCCCAACTTGATGACGAGACCCTTGAAGGTGCACCAAGCAGTTCAACTCTATGACTCACCAGATTTTGCAAGCGTTTTCCTTCTTGTGCTTTTCTGTAGAGGCGATGACAAGGCAAATGATTTGCCTCGCACTTACCATGTGACATCATGTGAGCCTTCTCTTTTCCCAAACCTCAAGCTTGTACTTTGAACATCTGAGAGCAGATTTGTGAGTTTGGCATAGGATGAATTTGAGATTCAGCTCAGGCCTTCGGAGTATGTGGTCAAGGTGAATGACATGGAGTTCATGCGCCTTCGTACTGCAAAATCTTCGCAGATAGCGAAGCTCATCAAAATGGACGCGGACCTCCTGGTCATTTCACGTGCGGAACCCGGATTAATTCTCCAGCTTGTTGCATTCTGATGCGGAGAGACACCAGGTTGACTTTGTGATCGCAATTTGGCTCAAGTAAAAGCAGACTTCTGACAGGTTGAAAGAGAGTCCTTCACATATTATCATGCAAGTTCTTTGGCAAGGTTGCAGTCCAGCAAATGAGCCATTTTCATCAATTTTCAGAAAAGAACACAGTAAAGTCTGCAGAATCAATCTGAATTGATGCTACGCAGCGCCTGCAGCACCCTCAGCAAAATTGCTTTGGGGAGGTGGTTTGTGTACTTCTCAATTATACTTCCCCCTTGAAGCGAACTAAAAGATGAGATCGCGTTGTCAGGAGATGAGGAACTACTTACGTACATCATTTTTACTATACTTTACAGTATATTTAAATCAGTGTTATACACATACTTCAGGAGGAAGAAAGTTTGGTAGCAGCTTCCCTCCAGAATCTCATTGACATGACTTCTCTCTCCCGATGGAATTCCGGCTGAGTTGTTTCCACCCCGAACTTGATTTATAATACTCTGAATGTACATCGGGGTGGAAACTACTCCGCCGGAATTCCACTGTGATCCCCTGTAGGAGTCTAAGGGGAAAGGGTTGTAGGTCACGTATTCATAATTAGGCTTGTTGCCAACTTTTGTCCTGTCTGTGTATGCACACCAGTATAATCACGAAAGGTAGCTTCGGCCCGGCTACCTGAGTTCTCTTTGCTTTAGCAATATGATATTGGGGGCGGTGGACGGTTCCTGTGCGGGATTTCGATTGTTTTAAATAGGGTTTAAATGTTGGGGGGGCCCCCCCATTCGACTCCACCCTGCGCCGCTCAGAATTTGGGAGTGATCTGGCTTATCAACTGTTTGTGGTCTATTGCAATCAATCTGTGGTATATTTCTGGCTGCTGCTGCTGCTGCTGCTTGCTGCTGCTGGTTGTTGCTTGCTGTATTGCTTGCTGCTTGCTGTACTGCTTGCTCCTTGCTGTACTGCTTGCTGCTGTGCTGTTTGTTGCTTGTTGCCTCCTTCTGTCGCTGGTGCTGGTTCGTGGTTGTTGCTGCTGCTGCTGGTGCTGGTGCTGGTGCTGGTTTGCTGCTGCTGCTGGTTGCTTGCTCCCGCTCTGAATCTTCCAACCTCTACCTTTCCTCCACCTCCGTCGCCTCAAGTATACATTCGCTGTGGTGTATGGGTCAAGGTATCAGTATCACTTGTTCTACTGTATATACATTTGCCTCTTAAAAGTTGCTTGCTCAGTATGTATTTGTAGACTTGAGCTTTTTTCATCAGGGTTGACTTTAGCAGTTGTGCAATCCACAGTGTTCTTGAGTATACCTGACGTATTTATATATACACAAGGTATCTTTTATCATGAATACCTGCAATCTTCATGAATGTTCGACTTGTTCACAGAGTTTTCTATGTTTGGGTGGCCAATCGAAGACCTGTCAGCGTTTTGTGCGGAAAGCTTCTTCAAGGCACAGATGTGCACCAAGCTTGATGGTTTTCAAGAGGGAGGATCACTGGACATCGTGTTGAGGCCCTGTCCCGAGCGATTTGCAAGAAAGCATCAAGACGCATCAATCAGACTGATGCCCTTTGCTCCTACTAGCTTCTTGCCCCTAGTAGTACGGCCAGGAGCCCCTAGTAGCGTCCTTGCTCCTAGTAACTACCTAGTAGCGATGCCGTTTGCTCCTAGTAGCTTCTTTGCTGTTCGCAGGAAGTGGCTTTTTGCAACCTGCATTTGTTTTTCTGTGTGATTGGTCAGATGATGTCATATGTCATACGTTTATTTCTTAGACAAATGGAATGTGAGCCTCTCAGCCGTCTCAGCACGAAATATTAAAAAAGGAACTTTGACAATCTTGAAAATCAGGTACATTGGCTCAGGCATTCGGAGATAGCTTTGCTCCCAACTTGTCGTGAGCATTCACACGTCGACTCATACACTCAAAGCCTGATTTTGCATTGCCATGGTTTTGATGAAGTCCTTGCTGCGTTTTGCCCTCGCTGTGTGGCTGCCAATGGCTGCATCATCATCATCATCATCGACCGGCGGCTCAAAAAAATGTCGTGGCAGCTATGCGGCTCCAGTTGTGAATTTGTGCGCAGATCACTGGCCAGATGCAAAATCAACTCGGATATGGATGGTTGTTTTCTATACTTCCTGGTGTGGGCATTGTCGTGCTTTGGAGCCTAAGTTCAAGGAGCTGGGCAAACTCTTGAAAAATGACAAAACCATTGGCATTGGAGCAGTTGACTGCGACATTGATAGGGCAACTTGTTCGAAGTACGGCGTGAGTGGCTTTCCAGCGCTGAAAGCAATTATTGCTGGCAAAGGAAAGTCCTACAATGGGCCACGTGAAACTGAGCCAATGAAGAATTGGATTTCGGGAATTGCCTCGAACAGAGGTACAAAGGGCGGAAGTGCCAAGTGTGCAGTAGGCAGCTTCAGAAGCCGAGTCAAAGATGCAGTGGTACCACTGTGTGAGGAACACTTTCCAGACGATAAAGCAAAGAATGATTGGCTCATCATTTTCTACAATTCCAAGGAAAGCTCAGAGCTGAAGGACATAGTAGATCGCGTGGCAGTTGACTTGGGAAATGATCCTCCTGAGATGAGTAAGGCGTTGAAAAAACCCAAGAAGAAGCGGGAGCGCCTTGAACACTTAGCTGAGAAGTATGGCTTCACTGCAAGTCTCCCAAGCAAAGGTCCTTTTGGATTGGATGCTCTTGCAAAAGTTGGCGCAGTGTGCTGCGATTGCAATGAAGATTCTCTAGCTTTTTGTGCAAGCTCCCTACGACTTGGTGAAGAGGATATCCCAGCACCGCAGGCCTTTTGGGTCTCGAAAGGGCACCGAGACCTCTTGAGGGACGCCAAATTGGCGGCCTCGGATCTTGTTCAGCTCGCAGTCAAGAAGCTGGGTTTTGCGAGTAAAGCAACTGAAGAGCTCTGAGAAACATCAAGAGCTCTGAGAGCCCATTTGGTGTATTCTATAGGGCACAAAGTGCCACAGAAGCCTCTTGGTCAACGGGCCAAGGTCGATCCTAAAGACATGGAAGCCTTGCTGTGGGAAAGAACTCCAATTGTGAAGTGCGCAGAAAGATCCCAACGGTGTCAGTGTCTCACTATATATATATATATATTCAGTATTAACGGGCCACTCAACGTGCCGTGACATTCCAGGATGATAAGAAGCAGTTCCAGATCTTACACCTCACAAAGGCCAGAGTTGCCTGCGTTTGAGCAAACTTTACAAAGCGTGTCCAAGTGTGTTCTTGACCCTGCGTTCCGGGTACTTGGTGGAATCAGCCAGCCAGCCAGCTATCAAAGTACGTGGAGGAATCAAAAAGTATCCGGCGGAGTCAGCCAGCCAGCCACCAAAGTACTCGGTGGCTGGTGGAATTTGTTTTGGGGTTCCCTAGCAACAACTCTGTGCGTGTTTCACATAGGCAAGGCCTCGGAGAATTTTTTTTATGTTTTTTTGTTGGTGCAATACAATGAAATGAAAATGAACAATGATACAATGACATACAATGACAACAAAGGAAGCAAACGAACACTGCATACAAGCAGCGGCGGATCTTGTTGCCTCAAGACTTCACCACTTCCATCACGAGCATGCAAAGAATAGGGCGGGTCCGTTCGTTCATCGAAATTTCATGAAATTTCTTTTATATAATAAGAGACTCTGTTTTTTAGATTTCGTGCCAAAGCCTAAAGCGGCCCTTGACGACGAGGGAAATGCGCGCTCCAAGTGTCCCACAACCAGTTTCAATAATTCGATAGCGCGGGTCAGAGCGGATGGTTCATGAATGAGTCCCCTGGATCATGCCAGAGCATGGGACCAGCTGGGTTTCGAAAACTGAGTCAGCCATCAAAAGTATCTGGCGGCTGGCGGAAAAAGACTTAAGGCCCGAACTCCCGTGTTTGAAGCGGACACGGTTGCGAAAGCAAGATTCCCTTTTGTAGCTCCAAAGCAAGATACGTGTTGCAGCTGGATCTTATGGTCGCAAGCACCGCTAATGTCGCAGCAAAGGTTACTGTTTACTGACCAATCATGAGGGTCTGAGATTGGGTGTGCCCTCCAGAAAGCTGCTGTACGCATCAGTGTGTGAAAGATAATTGCAGTTGGAATAACATTGCAGTGTTGCAACGTATCCCGAGAGCTTGTAGAATATTAGAGGAGGAACTGAGATGGGAACTGGCGCGTGAAAATATGTAGGCCCTTAGCTTGTCCCATAATTATCATAATTTTGTTACATACAAAAATCCGGCGAAGTCATTCCAAACAGCTTTGTCCGTTAGGTGGGTCACGCTGCTGTCTTCCCTTGCTGCCTAGCCGAAGCTTTGCCTCATCAGCCTGCTTGTCTGCCAATTTCCCCCTCCCAGTCCATCTCGACATCCACGAAGCTCCAAGTGCTGTAATCCAACCGCTTAGAAACTGTTTGGGGACTACGGACTTAAATGTTTTAGACCGAACCTCACAGATCCTTTTCATCAAAAGAAACATTCTGAATTCCAAAACTTTAGAGAGGAAAATCCTTTGTGGGAAAGACGTGCGCCGCAGGAATGATCAGGTGGTTCAAGGGATTGTCAGTTAGCACTCGCTCGATTTGTTTAATTAAATGCATGTGCCTGCCTAATGGGGTCAAAGGGTCAAGACTTCCAAGCCTTTTGACTGGTTTTTGACTTGGAGAAGTTTAGAGAGGCACTCTAAAACATATGAGCAACCACTTTTATTTAGGCTTTACTAAAGTAGTCTACAGCGTGCTCTATTTGCTTGTCTATCATCAGTAATCGCTTGTGAACGAGATAGGGCACCCACATAAACGAAATACTTTTGTTTGATGTCACTAAAGCAGTCTGAACGAGATAGTGTGATTTGCCACTAAAGTAGTCTGAGCGAGATACTGTGACATGACCTCCTGCTTGAGTAGTCTACACGAGATAGGGCCCCCACATAAGAGATAGTGTTTTTGGGCCAAGTACCAAATAGATGCTGCCGCACATATAGAGTGTTGTTACATGTTATTACAAACCGACCGCATTAAACCCATCCAATCTAAACTTATGAAAATCTCTCTAAATCACTCTAAGTGACTCCAAACAATTACTGTAGATCAAATATATAGAGGGGTTTTCAACTGAAAGTGCATTAGAGAGATTCAGATAAGCTTAAAGAGGTCTAGAATACCACTCCAATTTTCTTGAGAGGAACTGGAATGGTCCTTGAATGGCACATCCAATCAGAGACTGGTTGGACCGGAAGACGAGCATGAAAAGGATAAGCTTGAGTCGGCGGTGAGGAATAGTTAGGAATGATTTGCATGGCATGCTCCGTTTGTGGGAGGGTGGGGCGCGAAAAGATGCCACCAACAAGACTATGATGGAACCCGATCTCTTATAGCGGAGATCTAGCCGTCATTTGACACGCTCATTCCCATTAGTGAGGTCGGCTCACTTGTTCTTTGATTGTGCTATGCTTATCATAGTGTGCCACAATTTGCATGAGGCTTCTTGGTCAACAATCCAAGTGCCCTACGACTGGGTGAGTGAGTTTTTGGTATAGGCAACAACCCATCCTTTTTTGAGTGGCCAAATTCGTGAGTTTAACGATGTTTATATAAATCGATATTCAACATGAACTCATGGCTTCGCTGCAAGTTTCCCTCCCATGGAGGTTTTGTGGCTTTGCAGCAGAATGCCTCGGTGGTGATGTGAACCCATGGTGGAACAAACCGATGGGGTCAAAGGCGCAGGGGTTCATGTCGATCTTCCTTTGGGTGTGAATTTGCACTCTTCAGGGCCGGGGGTTCGTTCGAGTGGCAAGGATCTTTGGAGTGTGACGTATTGCTTCCCCATCTCTGTGGCCATGTTGACCTGGGGAAATGGCCTCATGGCTGTGACTTGGGTTTCAATTGAGGTTTTTTGGAGGGTATAGTCGGTATAGTACCTTTGCTTGAGTGTGGGGATTTGTGAACGGTAGTTGGGGGGATTCTGCATGATGGGCTTTATGTCTAACAGTGTTCTTTGCGTTTCTCTCCCAAAGTGGAAAGACGTCTTCAGGATCCGAAGTCGAACGCATGGGATCTCGGCCAAAGGCATCCAGCCCAAGCAAGTTTATTTGTCTGAACGAATCTAGAATCTAGAATTTAGTCAACCATACCTAGCTTAGCTTCAACATGATCCAAGATGCTTCAACTTATGCATCCGGAGACGCCGAAGGGCAACCGTGGCACAGTGTGTGAATATCTTCCCAGCCCCAATGGCAGCTGACAGTTTACATGTTGCTTTAGGGTGTTCTAGCAGCAGTGCAGTAGCCTCGACTATGGTCCCTGTCATCATTCACATTGGTCATTCCTTTGAACTCTGACGTATTGGTCATGAACCCCAAATGATGCATTTTCCGCAATCGTGGTCTTCGTCTTCATCCCGGCTTGAGAAACGTTAAGGACGTGGTAGGCTCCAGCCATGCCTTTGGTGAGGTGTTTCAACCTAACCTGAGGACTGGTGGCCAGCGCAATATCTCAGAGTACTTCTGACCTGATGACTGATATGCATGTATATGATTGTAAATGGTTTTCTAATCCTTTGCAACAGACCGCTCTTCCAAGTTTTATGATTGCTTGTTTGTCTCTTGTCGCTTGACTAGAAGCGATTGTATAATTCAGAGCCAGTCTTACAAATCTGAGCTAGCCTCGGAGAGGAGCTCACACCGTTTGCAAGGATAGAAAAAGTGTTGTTCCTGCTCTATCTAAACGATCGCAGGTGGATCCGCACGTGCCCCCACTTCCTCACAAGCCTCTGACACCTCGGCCTGGGAATCAATGTTTAAGGGTGCCCTCAAGCATCCATTGCGGTACTCCCCATGCTGAGCCTTAGCGTGGAAGCTGTGAGCAAGACTGAAGGAGACCTGAAGTAGGAGGAGTGGCTGAAGCGGGAACTCTTATGAGAGCGAACACACCAGAGGGCGCTGACACACCAGACCCCTTGGCACGCTACCACGGTCACCTTCACCAGACGTCACGATTTGCTGCGCTTACCACGAAAATCCACGAACACTTGCCCCCAACACATCCAACAGACATCTACACGTTCGCAGCTCTAGCAGATTTGCTTCGCACAAATTTTTAAAATGATTTTGGCATTTTGCTGTCAGATAATTTCAGCTGAGATTTTTCATGAAACATAGCTTCGAAACAAACCCTTCAAGAGCAAATCACCACGGTACAACGACAGTCATCACCTTTCAAAGATCATGCTGGAAACACGCACACGAGAGTCAAACAAAAAGACAAGTATCACACGGCCTGATATTTTTGAAATGCTTTGCATTCGGGCTCGCTGGTTTCGTTCATGTTGTTTTGTTTACAAAACCTTTTTAGCAAATCACATTTTTGTTTACACAAGGTGCTTCCCTTGCCAGGGATGTTCGCTGATGTTTGTGGGACATCCGATTGCCTGATCGGAGTCCTGCGTGTTTTTGTTGATGTGAAGGACAGGTGGATTGTCAGCCACTTCAGTTGGAAACTGTTTCCACAAAGGAGTATCAATGCTTCTTAACAGCAATGTTTCTTTAGTCACACAGTGTTATACACGACCAAGAAATCTAAGGATCCCTAATTTTTGAAAGTTCCAACGTGTCCAAGAATCATGAGCAGTTCCATGCAGTTTCAGTACTCAGCGATCTTAGCGGCTTTTAGACAAGTTTGGAAACACTTTCATAATCTTTCACGTGAATGCGCCTGAATTGGTCTTGCGTTGCCTTGATGGTCCTCCTTGTGAGGTCAGGACGTCCAGGGCTTTGAAGCCCGCATGCAGGAGCCGCATCACTCAATATTCTGTGGCCTTACCTGAACTTGGCCGCAACCTTGCAGGACTTCACTGGCCTAACTTACCAATGGGAGCAGAAGGTCAGGCCCGACAGGTTTGATTCTTTTTTGTGAACCGGCAAATAGGAACGACTAGAGCTCGTGTTGGCTAATCTTGTTGAGACATATCGTTGAGGTCATTGAAGCTGCCAACATCGCAAACGAGAAGGTGCAGATTCCGTTCTTGATTACATTGCAGACTGCAGAGCTGAAAATATGTGCCCGTCCAGGGAATTGAGCTCAAGAAGGTGACGCAGGCCATTTCTTACCAGATTTACCAGGTATGAACAAACGTAAACAGAATCCTTTGAGTCTTGTCTTGTTCGAGGGCCTTTGGGAACGCTGCAGGAAATGTTGCTGTTGAAGAAGCAATTGTCCTCCGTAACCCAAGACCTGGCAGCCGCTTTGGTGAACTCGAAGGCCGCAATCCGATTTCCGATTGGAGGCCGCTCATACAAACTGTTACAACGCTTGAGCAGTGAGCGGTCCAATTCTACACAGACACGTGTTGCTTTCATTTGATCTTGATTCGTTGCTCTTCATGAGGGTCTTGGTTGGGTCGAATATATATATATATTATATAATATATATAGCTGCTTGTGCGACTCAAAAACATTGTTCCTAGTTATATCATATCCATGATTCGAATTGTACAGTCTTCAACTGTAAAAATGGACCACAGCTGGATAGCATGCCTTCATTGATAATTATTGGTAATGCATGCAGACGTGGCTTTGGATTTTGATCGGGTGAGCACGTTGGAATGACCTGGGGAAGGCATGTCTACTGACAGGTTTGACTTGGGAACTGCAACTGGGGACACTGGCAGATATGTTTCTTTTAGGTTGGAGGCCATCGCTCTATTGCCGTTTTGAATGTCTTTCTTTGCGTTGTCTCGTGAGGACAAGAGCCTTTTTCCCAACGAGGTGCCGAGTAAAGGAGGACGACATGTCTTTCCAGCTGTGTGTTCTCGCGCTTTGAAGGAAGGAGAACGACTCCGCATGAGGCCTGGTGGAAGTTCCTTGCACCACCTGGTTAGCAGCTTTGTTCTGGTGGTGTATGCTGCATGGCACTGTATGGGGACACAGTGTCCGCAAGATTCCCGCATAATCTCTGGATTCCGTTTTGACCGAGATGAGGGATGCTTGGGTCCTACGTTGACAGGTTAACAACCAACCAGCAGAAATCAGCAAGATTAAGAAGATTGCATCCTGATGATTTATTTTGAACGCGCCAATTGCCTTGGGACGGCTTGCCCATGTGTTCGAGCTACATGTTCAGGCTGGCTGAGTATGAGTCCTTATTCATGACGGTTGTGACTTCTTTCGAAGGGCAGGATTGACAAGACTGTCTTGCATCGGAGCATCTCCACATTTGAGCCAGCAATTCTGTGTAGAACTTTGGTTACAGTTCCATGTCGGCAGGATTTTGAAGAGCCCACTTCCGTCACGCAAAAGGTGGTGGAAGAGAGAGAGGTCTGGTTTTTGTCTTCACCTTTCTTTGTTGTTGCTACAACTGCTCGGGTGATTTGGCATCATGTCAAGGCAAACATCCAGATGGTGGAGAATTGTTTACAGGCCTTGAGTGCACTTCCTTCTGCAGGGCAATTTGATCCGAATGCACAGTAGAAATGCGGGTGCATTTCATTTTTGATGCAAATATAATGTTGTCCAGTCCAATTCGTGATACTGCACGTTTGACTTGCAGGAGATTGAAGTTTTGGAAAGGGCACGCCAGAAAGCAGTTCGCCACTCCCTGTGGCGCCCTTAGCTTAATGCAACGGTCCTGAATAACACTCCCCTGGAGCAAGGACTGTGCAGACAATGTTCGATGTAATCCACAATCAGCTGATGAAGGAAGGCGACAGGCTCCATGGGACTACATGGGTTTGTTGCAGTCTTATCAGCCTCACGTGAGGCATGCAACAGCAATTTAGCAATTTGTTGAGAAAGCTGTCCAATGGGATTTTGCAACACAATTGTTTTTGCACCATGTACCCAATTGAGACTGGGGTGCTTAGTGCCATTTGATCTGAAAGTTTATATACAGTAGATACCAGAAGTTTTGGTAGTTGTCGACTTTCACTGCACTTGCGCAGATCCCAAACTTCTCGGAATCAAGCTCGTCATGCATGGAGCGAAGCTGTGGCGCCCTTGTTTGATCTTGTTTGTATTGATATCCGATCTGTACACACACATATACAATGATAATGAATACAGTGTATATATACACATACTGTATTATGTATGTATGTGTATATATATATGATTACTGTAGTTGACCGGAATGCCGATGCCAGACTTGTTTCTTGAGATCGAAGCGTTGACCACTTGTTGTGGTGGTTCCTGAAACTCTTGATCTGTATCAGATCAATGCCATATCAAATCAAGAGGTTTTCACACTCCCCCATGTCCGTCTTTTACGGACATTCTCTAAGCTTCTAAACTTCCTCGAAAAAAGTCTGGCAAATCCTCAGCGCACCCATCAACAGAAGTCTCTATTAATCCATCATGCACTTCAAAGCCTCCGTGGCTGTCATTTGCCTCGCGCTCTTGTAAGTCCGGAACTCGAGGGTCGCGGCGTCTACGAAGCCCTCGTCCTGCGAGCTGGATGCAGCCTCGAAACTTCTCAACCTCAGCTCAGGGTCCGTGGCGCTGCCATGTTGTCTCCTCGAAGCCTACGTCTACCACGCTCTAAAAGGCGACCATCGTCTAAGATGTTGATCACTGCCGCCATCGACTCCCCGAGCACCATGGGTTCTGTACGCCCGCGGCTCGCATTCCGTGCTTGACGATGTGGCAAACGCTTGCTGACGAGGGCCCCATTGGACCGCACCACCACCATACGCTGCCAGGGCTCCATGGTGCCCCTTCCCAGATAGCGTCTGACAGGATGTCCGGTAAAAGGCGAATATTTGAGTACTTCTTACTTGCTATGGCAGGGATCTCCGCCAAGAAAGACGCCGCCTGCTGGACAACGGCGGTGCCCCCGTTTGTACCCTTGTCTTAGGTCTCTGCATTGACGCTAAGCAGAACCAGGGCAGGGACAATGATGTGCCTGATGATCCCTACAGCCTGCCGGCATCCTTCAGAACGAGCAGACGGGGTGAGAGCTTCTGCCGGACACGCCCTGTTTTTCAATCAACTTCAACTTTTGGAGGATGCAGCAATCAGGGTCAGAAGACCCATGCGCAACTCCAAGCTCCTGAAATAGTTGGCGTCCACAACACTGCCTGGGCATGCGTGTGGAACACTGCAAGATTTGAAACCGCACTCTGATCCGCCAGCGCCGGCTAGTGTAAGTCCCCTCAGACTGTCGCGCATACCCTTCAAGCTCACCTGGTAGCGTTCAAGCCGTTATACTCCCTCTCCATTGAGTTCCTCCTGACTGAAGCGCGCCAGCTCCTTCAACCCATTGTTCCCCTTCGCCTGCTGCGACAATCGCAGTGCATTCCACCCGCCGGTCTCGAAAAGCTTTTTGCAGACGAGCGCGTCGGAATTTTCCCCCCAAAGCTCAAAGATTGGCAAGAGCTGGACCCTTGGCTGGTGCAAGGGTGTCAGTGCTGCCACAGGGTAGGGGCTGTTTTCTCCACAGTTCCAACGACTGCAGCTCAAGCGTGGCCTGATTGGCCTCCTCCGCTGGAACCACTGCAGTGCCGCATATAGCATTTACAGTTTTCAGGCAAACTCGCTGCAACTCGCGGAAGGAAGCCAGTGGCTATGTTTGATTTAATGCTTCACTGGTCAGTGCATCACAGTGCATCCACCGCAGCAAGGTCCCTTGTGGCGCCGAGTTTGTCAGGTTGGTCAGATTCTCTCATTTGGGGGCAGGGTTGCCCTGGTCAAAACTATTCCATTAAGGTTGGGGAAACTGAGAGTAGTTACCTCTTGTTCGTGTTCGGGCTTAAAAGGCACCGGTTTGGCGTTTGCAGCCTTGGGGGCGCAGGGGGGCATTCCCACTCCTTTGGCTTGGCGCGGGGTGAGGAATGCCAAGGCCCCTATAGAAGATTTTGACTTCGAACCGGCGTTTACAGTTTTGAGACAAACTCGCTGCAACGCGTGGAAAAACCTGTGGCTCTTATCTATGCACACACGCACACACGCATACACACCTTCTATATTACAATTACAGCACTGTCCCGCACCCTGTACTTGCTACTTATTGCAAGAAGTCAGCCTATGCGCCATTAAAGACCAACGGCTTCTCCTTTTGATTGGGACGCTGAGGTTGTTCTGAGCATGACTGGCAAGCCAGGACACGCTGCGGGCTCCATTGTTTTGTAGTCTGGACATGAGTTGACGACTTGAGTGTGTTGCCGAAGCCCAGTTCACAGGCCCAGTCGCCAGTGAACCACAGGCCAGCTCACTCAGCAAAACAAGCAAGTTCAAGAGATGTCACTGTAGATGTCAGGAACCAGACCAAGAGCCTCAAGAGCTCCAAGACCTCCAAGAGCAAGAGCCAGAGCCAATCCAGCTGGAGCAGCCGCAAGAGCCAGTGGTAATTGACGGCAAGCTCCACCTGAGCCCAGTTTGCGACTTATCTTTCAAATCATTCGAGTTTGTCTTCTGATTTCGAAGCAGACTCTTGGCGGGTTTGCTGAGGCGGTAGAGTCACTCTTCTTGAAAGATCAAGGTGTGTATGTGCGGAGACTGAACGATCTACAGGCGATTTGCTTTCTAACCGCGTTTTTGTTACTTATAATTGTAAGTCGCTTAGTGTTGTGTATACACTTCGTTACTTCAATGAACTCCATCATCTCTGTCTCCCCACTAGTTGACCGATCGCATTTGCCCAGAACCACTTGGCGGAAGAAATGGAGAACACTGATATTTTGGAAGAAGCTCTTAACGAGGCGCTGCTGCGAAGCCTGCAACACAAGCGGGAAACGATGTGTTTGGGTCGCCTTTCTATTCAAGCATCTCAAGCATCTCCACGTTTTCCTCTGCGTCCGTGGAAAATCACAAGAAACCAAACTGCTAGAATACTTTGCGCAATGCGTTGCCAATCTCAGCTGCTAGAGCAGGCTGTCGAATACGGAGAGGAACTGCAGATGAGGCAGGGAGCGAGAGCTTTGCTTTTTTCCGGATGTGTGTTTGTACATATCTAATATAGGAACGCGTGCCTAGCTTGGACTTGAGTTTGTCTAAGCAACTCGCTCTGGGCAATCCCTGCAAGGCTTGCAGGCTTGCAGGGGGAGCTGCAGACTATGATTGAAGACAAGCAACGACTGGAGGACTAGCTTGTCTTTGAATTCCATGTGCCGCTCGCATGGGTTGAGCAGAAGGGAGAAGAGGACACCAAGTGTGCAGTATCTGATGATGATTAGTATGAGATCATGGTATTTTGGATACTTTTGGATAGATTCTGCAGTGATGCTCAAAAAGGTCTCAGAGTGTGACCAGGGGGAACAACTGCAGATTAAACGTCTGGACCTAAGGTGGTTTCATAACCTCCATGTTATGTAAGATTCCCCAAAAATCTAGTGCAATGTCAAGCCTGAGCTCTTTTGCACCCAAGCCTAGGAGGCTACTAAACTTGTAGTAGTTTCTTCTCACTTAGGGTTCCACATCACAGCCTACCCCTGAGTCTTTTCAAGAAATAATAAGAACAAAAGGGCCGGATAAGCCCACATGTTAAGCTTGTAAGAACTATCAACGAGAAGTAGAGACTGATAAGAGAAGAGGATACTGGACGCGAAAAGTGAATGAGATGAGTGGTGTGTGGTGAGTGGTTTGTGATGAGTGGAGTGAAAAGAGTGGTGTGAGATGAGTGGTGTGTGAAGAGTGGTGTGAGATGAGTGGTGTGAGATGAGTGGTGTGTGTGACGAGTGGTGTGTGATGAGTGGTGTGTGATGAGTGGTGTAAGATGATTGGTGTGAGATGACTGGTGTGTGATGAGTGGTGTGTGGTGAGTGGTGTAAGATGAGTGGTGCGTGATGAGCGGTGTAAGATGAGTGGCGCAAGGGAGGTGATGAGTGGTGTCAGAAAGAGTGGTGTGAGATGAGTGGTGTGTGATGAGTGGTGTGTGATGAGTGGTGTGACGGGTGGTGTGTGATGAGTGGTGGGTGTGTGATGAGTGGTGTAAGATGAGTGGTGTGTGAAGAGCGATGTGTGATGAGTGGTGTGTGAAGAGTGGTGTGAGATGAGTGGTGTGTGATGAGTGGTGTGTGATGAGTGGTGTAAGATGAGTGGTGCGCGATGAGTGGTGTAAGATGAGTGGCGCAAGGGAGGTGATGAGTGGTGTCAGAAAGAGTGTGAGATGAGACGGGAGGCAGCCGCGGGCCAGCGGCGACCACGCGCGCTGCGGCTGGCTCTGTGTACTGCGCCTGCCACGAAATCTGCGCTCGGTTCACCAAGTGCTGTGTCTGCCACGAAATCTACACGAGAGGCAGCCGCGGGCCAGCGGCGAGCTGTTCCGGGAGGCTCTGTGTACTGCGCCTGCCACAAAATCTGCACTCCAGGTTGCCACGAAATCTACGCGACAGGCAGCCGCAGGCCAGCGGCGACCACGCGTTCAGCAGCTGGTCCAGGAGGCTCTGTGTACTGCGCCCGCCACAAAATCTGCACTCCAGGTTCACCAAGTGCGATGCCTGCCACGAAATCTACACAACAGGCAGCCGCAGGCTCTGTGCACCGCCTGCGACGAAATCTGTGCCGCGCCTGCCACGAAATCTACGCGACAGGCAGCCGCGGGCCAGCGGTGACCACGCGTGCCGCAGCTGGTCCGGGAGGCTCTGTGTACTGCGCCTGCCACAAAATCTGCACTCCAGGCACCAAGCGCGGTGCCTGCCACGAAATCTGGGATGTGATGAGTTGAGTAAAATGAGTGGGGTATGAAGAGTTGTGTAAGATGAGTGGGATGTGATGGTGGTGTAAGATGATTGGACGTGATGAGTTGTGTGACATGGGTGGGGTGTGATGAGTCGTGTAAGATGAGTGGGATGTGACGAGTGGGGTGTGGTGAGTTGTGTGAGATGAGTTGTGTGTGAGGAGTTGCGTAAGATGAGTAGGATGTGATGAGTTGTGTAAGATGAGATGGATGTGACGAGTTGTGTGAGATGAGTCGTGTAAGACAAGTGGATGTGATGAGTGGGATGTGATGAGTTGTGTGAGATGAGTTGTGTGCGAGGAGTTGTGTAAGATGAGCGGGATGTGACGAGAGTGGTGTAAGATGAGTTGATGTGATGAGTTTTGTAAGATGAGTGGTTGTGATGAGGAGGCGGCGTCGGAGGAGGGCGGAGCGGCGGGCACAGAGCGAAAAACAAGAACCCCATGCAGTGATGTGGGGAATTGCAATCTTTGTAGATTACGAAAGCCAGCCGACAGGTTAGGCTGGAGTTGTCGATGAGCGAGCGAAGTGAGTATGGGGGGTGTGGGGGTGGTTGCAAAATGGTCCCGCCGGGTAGGGTGAACCCAGAGCCTGGTGGGGGAGAGCACAAAAAGAGGTGGTCAGGAAGGTAGTGAAAATGTATGTTTTAGGGGGTCTTGGTGATGCGAGTGATGCAAATGACGCTGAATAGTGCATCATTAGCATGACGAAGTGCTCAGGAGACTACTTAGACTGTCTATTGACTAGGGGTGGGGTTTGGGCAGAGGAGTCGTGAAGTCCTCAAGAAACTATTTAGAGCCTGAACCAAGAGAAAAAGGGCACCCCCCTTGACCTGTGAATGTCCTGCTCAACTCAACCTTTGTCCGCGCGGACTGTAAATGTCCTGCTCAACTCAACCTTTCTCCTAACGCATGGGCTCTACTTCTATCCTATAACCGCTAACAGCAGTGAATGGGCCTTGATCAAGACCTTGTGTATAAAGAGCCTATCATAGTATGACCCTCAATGCGAAAGTGTGCGCCTCTCCGCCTTCCATTTCCCCATGCCTGACAGCAGTTGAAGTGCGCTGTCGACTTCACCCCATAACCACATTGACGTTTTCTTATGGAGGCTGGCTTTCGTCCCCTCCCTTCTCAGGTTTGTCATGATTTGTTTGGTGCAGCTGTCCAAGCCACAGTGAAATGATTCCATATCTCACAGAGGGGTTGACTCAACCCGTGGACTCATAGTGAAAAAACAAACACAATCTCACCAACAGTACTGACGGTCAACTTGAGCTCCAACTGGAACAGTTGGACCCCACTGGCTGATTTGTACGTGTGTGAGGTACGTGTGTGGGCTTGGACACTTCACACAGACATAGATGGACACGTGGGGTACATGGTTTCTGGGTTGCCCAGGGTGAACAGCGATGCGGACAATGACAGCGCACTTGCCAACAGTAGTGTACATCCATGCCTGGCTCAGTTGGCAGGAAGAATCTCAAGAACAGCTGAAACACCACATCCAGGCGCCTGTAGTGATTTCATACGTTTTCTTTAAACTTGGTTTGTGAGGCACAACAGCACGCTGCGTCCGTTGCCTGGAGAGGAGCTGCATAGTTTCAAACCACAACAGACCAAAGCACCAGTGCACACATGAAGTGACAGACAAGGTAAACAAGGTTGATCATGCTGATGACCATGATTACTGATGATGCCCATTCAATCATGACGCAAGCGAAGGTCACTGCAAGAACTTGCCCGCGCAGAAGTTGCACGCAGAGACGCACAGGCCAGCAGGAAAAAACCTTCATTTTGGCTAGTGGTTAGCAAAGTGTTCATGGCCAGGTGGCGGCTTTGCAGGAAGCCTTGTCTGCCCAGGCAGTTAGCTGTTTTCCCAGTTTGCAGAACATCAGCTTGATTCCAGCGTTTGACACTGGCAGGTTGATTGGTCAAAGTAAACATTTAGTAACTAGTACCCGAGCGTCACTGCCTCCATTGCCTGCAAAGAAACTGTAGCTCATTGCTGGGCTGCGTTTGCAGGAAGACATATGTATGCACGCCTTCGCACGACTTGGTATTTATTTACTGTGATACAGATAGGCACTCTCAGCGCTCTTTACAGTGTTTTGCTATGCTCCTTTCCATTCAACATTCTGTCCTTTTCCCATCAAGGCATAGAGATATCAAACAGGTGAGTGAACGCTTGCAAAATGCATCCATTCCGCTCCACCCAAATACCTATTATCCTAAGTAAGGGCCATGCTAGTACAGACAGAAAGGGGAAGCAGAACAAAAGCAATTACATGTTGAGTTGGGGGAGCAATCCATTTGCCGAGCTGGCCTCTTGACTGAGAATTGCCGTTGATGATGCAGCTTTGACATCATGTTTTAAGACAACTATCGCCCAGCGTGCAGGAGAAGCAAAGTGCAGCCAGGATGGCGCAGGCTGTCCTTTGTGCGTACTTTGCTTGCACTGGCATTTGACTGATCCCCAGCAGATGTCTTGCTACAAGAATATAATGTGAGTGCATAGATGTTTGCACGATTGTCGTGGTCCCCTTGGCCTTCGGTATATATGTTCTTGTGGCTTACTTGCTTCTTGCGTGTAATTACTCTCCACCTTATATATATATATATTGTTAATTTTTCAGTCTGCATTTCCAACCAGCTTCAAGCAGCAGACCTGCAAAAGTAAAACGCAATATGACTTTAACATGTGTGACGTGTCTTCACGGTCTTGTATGTTGTTTTACAGTGGAGTGACACTAGCCTCGCTGTTCATCTGTCCAGTTTCTTCGCTGGCGGGGCAGGCCTGCCAAGAGATGGAGCTCATGAATCAGACGCTGGCAGCCAGAGAAGAGAGCGACGCCAAGGCAGTCACATTCTATGCAGGGCATTGTTCCACTGTTTTTGGTATCAGGTGTATTCTCCAAATTGATTCATTTCCGGCTTTCGTGATCACAAGCTTCTTGTTCCCTCAAGCAGCAGAGCTGCGCAGCAGCAAAACTAGTCTATTTTTATCTTGTTTTTGTTGTGTGAGATGTGTCTTCGACCTTTCTGGTCATTGCAATGATATGCAAGCCTTCTGGG